GCTGAGACTCCGCACTCAGTCTCTGCAGGCCAGCAGCTGAGACTCCGTACTCAGTCTCTGCAGGCCAGCAGCTGAGACTCCGCACTCAGTCTCTGCAGGCCAGCAGCTGAGACTCCGCACTCAGTCTCTGCAGGCCAGCAGCTGAGACTCCGCACTCAGTCTCTGCAGGCCAGCAGCTGAGACTCCGCACTCAGTCTCTGCAGGCCAGCAGCTGAGACTCCGCACTCAGTCTCTGCAGGCCAGCAGCTGAGACTCCGCACTCAGTCTCTGCAGGCCAGCAGCTGAGACTCCGCACTCAGTCTCTGCAGGCCAGCAGCTGAGACTCCGCACTCAGTCTCTGCAGGCCAGCAGCTGAGACTCCGCACTCAGTCTCTGCAGGCCAGCAGCTGAGACTCCGCACTCAGTCTCTGCAGGCCAGCAGCTGAGACTCCGTACTCAGTCTCTGCAGGCCAGCAGCTGAGACTCCGCACTCAGTCTCTGCAGGCCAGCAGCTGAGACTCCGCACTCAGTCTCTGCAGGCCAGCAGCTGAGACTCCGCACTCAGTCTCTGCAGGCCAGCAGCTGAGACTCCGCACTCAGTCTCTGCAGGCCAGCAGCTGAGACTCCGCACTCAGTCTCTGCAGGCCAGCAGCTGAGACTCCGCACTCAGTCTCTGCAGGCCAGCAGCTGAGACTCCGCACTCAGTCTCTGCAGGCCAGCAGCTGAGACTCCGCACTCAGTCTCTGCACTCAGCCCCACCAATAAACACTCCCCTCCCCTGCAACCCTCCTTCCCCTACAGTAATCTGCGAGTGGTGGTGGCCACCATGGGGCAGCCCTGCGGGGTGTCACTGCAGGCTCACAGCTGAGCCTTAACTGCCATACTTGACCGCATACATAAACTCCCCACTCCTCTTAACCGCATTCTCCCCCCGCAGCAACCTGCGGGTGGTGGTGGCCACCATGGGGCAGCCCCACGGGTCTCTCTAAGGACTGACAGCTGAGCCTCAGCTGCTGCACTTAACCCCACTAAGGAACTCCTCACTCCTCTTAACCACATGGTACCTCGCAGCAACCTCCGAGTGGTGGTGGCCACCATGGGGCAGCCCCACGGGGCGTCGCTGCGGCCCGACAGCTGGCGGTTCATCCACGGAGGAATCGCGCTCTGGCTGGACGTGAAAGGTGGGCGGGGGGGGGGGGGGGGGGGTGGGCAGGGGAGGGTGAGATGGGCAGGGGAGGGTGGGATGGGCAGGGGAGGGTGGGATGGGCAGGGGAGGGTGGGATGGGCAGGGGAGGGTGGGATGGGCAGGGGAGGGTTGGGATGGGCAGGGGAGGGTTGGGATGGGCAGGGGAGGGTTGGGATGGGCAGGGGAGGGTTGGGATGGGCAGGGGAGGGTTGGGATGGGCAGGGGAGGGTTGGGATGGGCAGGGGAGGGTTGGGATGGGCAGGGGAGGGTGGGATGGGCAGGGGAGGGTGGGATGGGCAGGGGAGGGTTGGGATGGGCAGGGGAGGGTGGGATGGGCAGGGGAGGGTGGGATGGGCAGGGGAGGGTTGGGATGGGCAGGGGAGGGTTGGGATGGGCAGGGGAGGGTTGGGATGGGCAGGGGAGGGTTGGGATGGGCAGGGGAGGGTTGGGATGGGCAGGGGAGGGTTGGGATGGGCAGGGGAGGGTTGGGATGGGCAGGGGAGGGTGGGATGGGCAGGGGAGGGTGGGATGGGCAGGGGAGGGTGGGATGGGCAGGGGAGGGTTGGGATGGGCAGGGGAGGGTGGGATGGGCAGGGGAGGGTGGGATGGGCAGGGGAGGGTGGGATGGGCAGGGGAGGGTTGGGATGGGCAGGGGAGGGTTGGGATGGGCAGGGGAGGGTTGGGATGGGCAGGGGAGGGTTGGGATGGGCAGGGGAGGGTTGGGATGGGCAGGGGAGGGTGGGATGGGCAGGGGAGGGTGGGATGGGCATGCGTGATTGGGCACTGGCGCTGGTCAATTGGAGAGAGGGCGTTGCTTCAGACAGACAGCTGGCGGGCTCAACCATGGGGGGATTGCTCTGTGCCTGGACGTGAAAGGTGGGTTGGGGAAGGGAAAGAAAAGCTTGAGTGCGTGAAGTTGGGCGCATGTGCATAAGGGCTTCGGGGCTTGGGGGCATCATTGGGGGCATCATTGGGGGCATCATTGGGGGCATCATTGGGGGCATCATTGGGGGCATCACTGGGGGCATCACTGGGGGCATCACTGGGGGCATCATTGGGGGCATCACTGGGGGCATCACTGGGGGCATCATTGGGGGCATCACTGGGGGCATCACTGGGGGCATCACTGGGGGCATCATTGGGGGCATCACTGGGGGCATCATTGGGGGCATCATTGGGGGCATCACTGGGGGCATCACTGGGGGCATCACTGGGGGCATCACTGGGGGCATCACTGGGGGCATCACTGGGGGCATCACTGGGGGCATCATTGGGGGCATCATTGGGGGCATCATTGGGGGCATCATTGGGGGCATCATTGGGGGCATCATTGGGGGCATCACTGGGGGCATCATTGGGGGCATCATTGGGGGCATCATTGGGGGCATCATTGGGGGCATCATTGGGGGCATCATTGGGGGCATCATTGGGGGCATCATTGGGGGCATCATTGGGGGCATCATTGGGGGCATCATTGGGGGCATCACTGGGGGCATCACTGGGGGCATCACTGGGGGCATCACTGGGGGCATCACTGGGGGCATCACTGGGGGCATCACTGGGGGCATCACTGGGGGCATCACTGGGGGCATCACTGGGGGCATCACTGGGGGCATCACTGGGGGCATCACTGGGGGCATCACTGGGGGCATCACTGGGGGCATCACTGGGGGCATCACTGGGGGCATCACTGGGGGCATCACTGGGGGCATCATTGGGGGCATCATTGGGGGCATCATTGGGGGCATCATTGGGGGCATCATTGGGGGCATCATTGGGGGCATCATTGGGGGCATCATTGGGGGCATCATTGGGGGCATCATTGGGGGCATCATTGGGGGCATCACTGGGGGCATCACTGGGGGCATCACTGGGGGCATCACTGGGGGCATCATTGGGGGCATCACTGGGGGCATCATTGGGGGCATCACTGGGGGCATCACTGGGGGCATCACTGGGGGCATCATTGGGGGCATCATTGGGGGTGGGTGGGCCACAAGGAAGTTGATCCATGGGAAACGTGGGTGGATGCATGGGGAAGATGTGTCGAGCGGCATCAGAGCTGGATATCACATGGAGGGATTGCAGAAGCTTTGCTCCCAACCTTATTCAATCCCCACATCCATCCTCTCAGGAGACTCTGACAGCCTTCCGGACCCTCATTTCTCGGACAGAGCTGACGTGGCGATCAGATTGCACCTGCCAGCTGGCTGGAGCACGGACGACACAGTCAGCGCTGACGTGGCGCGGGCGGCCGCAGAGGGAGCGCTGACAGCTGTCAAAGCGGCATTGGATGCGGATCCCCAACTACCAGGTGAGTGGGAGGGCGAGAGAGGGGGAAAGGTCATAATGTGGGGTCAACTCTTCAGATGCTGACAGCTGTCAAAGCGGCATTGGACACGGATCCCCAGCTACTGAGTGAGAGGGCGAGAGGGGGAAGGGCTTCAAATTCTCACAACAGCATCGAGCATTCCTGATCGCTCCTGAACACTAGGAGAGGGCAGGAGTGTGAAGGGTGGTTGAATGCTTGCAATGCGAAGCCAGCTCTATTCCTGAAACGTCTCAGTGCTGTGTAAGGATGAACCGTCCACTTGCTAGCAGTGCCAGCTGTCAATGCGGCATTGGGAATGGGTCAACAGCGGCCGTGTGAGCAGCATGCAGGAAAGGGAGTTTCTCACAAGGCTGGAGGCTTCTTCAGGCCTTCAATGCACAAGCTATAGCTTCAATGCACAAGCTATAGCTTCAATGCACAAGCTATAGCTTCAATGCACAAGCTATACCTTCAATGCACAAGCTATACCTTCAATGCACAAGCTATACCTTCAATGCACAAGCTATACCTTCAATGCACAAGCTATAGCTTCAATGCACAAGCTATAGCTTCAATGCACAAGCTATAGCTTCAATGCACAAGCTATAGCTTCAATGCACAAGCTATAGCTTCAATGCACAAGCTATAGCTTCTTCTGACTTTGGGGGGTCTTCTTCGGGGTGTATAATTTTGTAATGTATCTGTACATGGGTGTCCATGTGTTTGTATCCATGTGCATGTGCATGCAGGGAAGAAGAGCCTGTATGTGAGAATGGGGTGCAGGGGAGACTGGCCTGACCTCATGCCACCAAGCTGGGACCCCAACGCCCAACCAGGCGAAGCAGAAGTTGCAGCCACAGGGGAGGGAAGTGCTTAGGACGAAGAGGCCACACGTGAGAATGGGTGGGTAGGACTGAGAGGCTGGGAGGGATGGGGGCGCAGGGGAGCCTGGCGAGACCTCAGGCCCCCCAGGTGGGATCCCAACGCTCAACCGGGCGGAGCAGAAGCCGTGGGTGAAGTTATAAGGGGTTAGTGCATTGACAATGATAGCGCCGATAGTGGTGCAAATACTAGAGAAATACGGTACAGCATTATTTTCTCATGGGGATTTGTAACAGCGTAGTTAGATATGTGTGTATTCATACTTTTGTGTAAGGCATGGTCTATTGAACGCGTACGGTATTGCTACAAACGGTGGCACCACCATGCCGGATGGAGTGTGGACAAAGGGGCCTCGTTTCAATCACATTCGCTCAGATTCAGGATTGCTTGGGAGCGGAGGAGCAAGGAACGCATGTGAAGTCCACGGCCTTGGTTCCCCTGTGAGGCACAGCCACACACACAACACCAAACAATCAGCTAGTATGTGGACCACAATCAGTAACGTATGTTCTCCCGACGTGGTGGGGAAGGGGGGGAAGCAAGGGTAACTAGAGTGTGCATGTGTGTGTATGGGGTTGATAGTTTAACAAGCCCTCAGAGACATGTAGAAAGGAAGGAGGGAGAGAGGGAAGAGGGGAGCAGCTACCAGTTCTTGTTGTGGTAGGCGAGAATCTTGGAGCCATCAGGGGAGAAAGTGGGGGGAGAGTGGGGCGATGGCAAGTGGTTGGAGGCGGGGGAGTGAGGGGGTGTAGCTTCAAACAGCACGTACCAGTTCTTGTTGTGGTAGGCGAGAATCTTGGAGCCATCAGGGGAGAAGGCCCAGATGAGGCGGTTCACTCCATTGTACTTCACAGGCACGGTCCCATCAGTGCTGTTGCGCACAAACCTGCATTGGAGGGGGCAGGAGGTATAGTTGGGACAGAAGCAGCGCCATGAGAAACAGCAGCAGTGGAGGAGGAGAAGGCCCAGATAAGCTGGCTCACCCCACTGTATCTCACAGGCACAGAGCCGTCGGTGCTGTTGCGTGCAAACCTGCATTGTGGGGGACGGTTAGGGACGGTTAGAGACGGTTGGGGACGGTTAGGGACGTTTGGGGACAGAATCACAGCCGTACAAAATACTTCGAGACGTCTCAAAAGTCGAGAAACAGCAGCAGAGGAGGAGAAGGCCCAGATGAGTCGGTCACGCCATTGCATCTCACAGGCACACAGAGGCATTCGTACTGTTGCTAGGAAACCTGCAGCGATGGGGATGGTTGGGGACAGAGCCAAAGCTGTGACGAATCGTCCCAGATGCTCGAGAGGTTTCAAGATTGACTCATCGATTGACTCAACAACGTCTCACCCTGGAACTTGCTGCGCTCGTCCTCACACCTCCCTCTCACACCTCCCTCTCACACCTCACCTCATGATTGCACCCCTTGCTGTCGAGCTGAACCCAGTCGGTGCAATGGCAAACTTTCTTGACGGTTTCACGGCACTCGCAGCATAGCCGGTTATCCCATAGGCCGCCACAGCTGCTGCTGACTTGGCAGGAGGCGATGCTGACGTGGCGAGGTTCCCAACCACCACGTCAGCAGGGGACATGAAGCCCGTTTTGGACCAGCCCAGGGCGAACCAGCCCTTGTGGGCCCCACTTCTGGCCTTCGCCTCCACCGCTAGAGACAAACTCTGCCGCCCCTGGCGCTTCCAGTGGAGCACAAAGCTGGAGGGGAAGGGGGGAGAGGAGGGATGGGAGGAGGGACGGATATAGGAGGTGTGTTGAACATAGACTATTAATAAGAGGGAGAGGGAGGAGGTGGGAAGGGGATGGGGTTGGCTTGGGGCAGGGTGGGGAGTAGGAAAAAGGCAGGGAGGCATGGTGGTAGGGAGGGAAAACGGGAATACATCAAATGAAGATGAGGCATGGTGGTAGGGACTAGTCTCACCACCGCACACCCACCGCCCACCATAATCACCACCACACACACACGCACACACACCACTAACCAGCCACACACACACTCACACCCTCAGTCACCCACCACACACACACACCACACCCTCAGTCACCCACCACACACACACACCACACTCACCCACCACACACACACACCACACCCACTCACCACACACCCACTACTTTCACGCACTCACCCACCACATGCACACCCGCCCACAGCACACACACTCACCCACCATAGACACACACACACACGCACACCCACCACACTCACCCTTTATCCGCTGAGCTGGTAAAGCCCGGAAGGTCCACTGAGCAGAGCGACGATGCCTTACACGCAGAGGGCTTGGCTTGCCCTTGCCTAGTCAATCCCACCGCTCTCCCACGATCACACACCCACCACCACCGCACTCACCCTTTACCCGTGAGGTCCACTGAGCTGGTGACGACGTGAAGAGTTGATGCCTTGCACGCAGAGGGCTTGCACTCACATGGCTTGCACTCACATGGCTTGCACTCACATGGCTTGCACTCACATGGCTTGCGCTCACATGGCTTGCACTCACATGGCTTGCACTCACATGGCTTGCACTCACATGGCTTGCGCTCACATGGCTTGCGCTCACATGGCTTGCGCTCACATGGCTTGCGCTCACATGGCTTGCGCTCACATGGCTTGCGCTCACTCACATGGCTTGCGCTCACATGGCTTGCGCTCACATGGCTTGCGCTCACATGGCTTGCGCTCACATGGCTTGCGCTCACATGGCTTGCGCTCACATGGCTTGCGCTCACGTGGCTTGCGCTCACGTGGCTTGCGCTCACATGGCTTGCACTCACATGGCTTGCGCTCACATGGCTTGCGCTCACATGGCTTGCACTCACATGGCTTGCGCTCACATGGCTTGCGCTCACATGGCTTGCGCTCACATGGCTTGCGCTCACATGGCTTGCACTCACATGGCTTGCACTCACATGGCTTGCGCTCACATGGCTTGCGCTCACATGGCTTGCGCTCACATGGCTTGCGCTCACATGGCTTGCGCTCACATGGCTTGCGCTCACATGGCTTGCGCTCACATGGCTTGCACTCACATGGCTTGCACTCACATGGCTTGCACTCACATGGCTTGCACTCACAGAGCTTTCACTCACAGGGCTTGGCTTGCATATGTTTATCAAGCCCACTGCACTCACTCAAATGTCGCAACCACCACGACTCCCTCACCCACCACACACACGCACCCTTTACCCGTGAGGTCCACTGAGCTGGTGAAGCCGGGGAGGGTCGATGCCTTGCACGCAGAGGGCTTGCACGGGGGAGGAGATGGCGGAGGGGACGGCTTGGGGGAGGGCTTGGGGGAAGGCTGGGGTGCGGGCTTCGGGGATGGCTTGGGGGAAGGTTTTGGGGATGGTTTGGGGGATGGCTTGGGGGGAGGAGGAGGGGGGGTGGGCGCGGGGAGACACGAGAAGTCCACAGCTTTACCGCCCCTGCAACCAGCACAGCAGCAGAAATCGGGGAACACAGGGGATGGGAGCACCCAAAGTAAATATCAGGCGCTTCTGCTGGGCGTTTCCTGTTCGTCCCTTTGACTTTCGAAGCGCCTCAAAAGGCATGTGCTCTGCTAAGCACCAAAGTGTTTCCTGTTCTTCTAATGCGATTTGGAGCTCACTGTTTCTATCACACCGAAACAAGCTGAATATAAAGGAACAGCTCATAGAGAGGAGGAGAGCATTGGTTCGCATCGCACCTGTTCATACCGTGGTCGGTGGGTTTGCCGCTCGCACCAAACGCTCAGATGATCTTATTCGCCCCGCTGCACTTAAATGGAATAAGCTGCTTATAAGAAAATCGCTTATAGGGGGGGACGAGAGTCATCGCACCTGTTCATGCCATGATCGGTTGGCCTGCCGCTCGAACCGAACGCCCAGATGATATGATTCGCCCCGCTGTAAGTCACTGGAACCACCCCGTCCGTGCCGTTCCGCGTGAACCTGCGGTCAGTCACGCACAAGGTAAAGAAAACCGTGTGAATTGGGGAGATGGGATTGAGACGAGGCTTATCGCTCGTAACACACGTATAAACTTTGCCTGCAGAGGCAGGCAGAAAACGGGGAAGCGCCACACTCCGCTCGTACCTCATCACGATGCCACTTGGTCCCCACGCGAGCGCGGCATTCCCAAGGCTAAACCTCGAGGTGGGCGCAACTGTGGTTTGACTGTAGCCTTCTAACGCGTACGCCGAGGGTCGGCCGTTTCCCGCAACACCCACAACACCATCGGCAGGGAGCATGTACCCCGTCTTGCTCCACGCTATCGCGAACCAGCCTTTATTGGTCGATACACCGCTCCCCGCCTTCGCCTCGACCGCCATGGCTAGGCTTTGCGGCCCGTCGAGCTTCCAGTGCAGCACGAGGCTGAGGGAAGGGCGGGAGGGGCATGTTAAGGGCGGGAGGGGCATGTTAAGGGCGGGAGGGGCATGTTAAGGGCGGGAGGCGCATGTTAAGGGCGGACGGGAAAAGTGTGCGATGAGTAAGCAAATAGGCGTTGGGGATCGTCGAGCTTCCAGTGAAGGACGAGGCTGACGAGCGGAAGGGGATGATGCACGACGAGTGCGGGAAGGAAGACTTTTGAGGCACCTATGAAGGGAATATGCATGACGATATGTAAGGGACGGAACTACGCATAGCGGCGAGAAGTTGTCGGCAGGGCGCGCGCCTTCGCCTTGACCCCGCTGGCGAGGCTTTCAAGACCATTGAGCTTCCAGTGAAGGACGCGTCCGAAGGGCGGAGAGAGCAGTGTATGGGCAAGTTGCTTTGGAATATATGGAGAGCTTCGTGCCTCTTGTAACTTTTGAGGCGCCTCGAAGGGTGGGGCGAGCCGTATATGATGGGCAAGTTGCTTTGGAATATATGGACAGCTTCGTGCGTCTCGTAACGCACCCTTTACCCGACAGGTCGATCGACGAGGTGAAGCCCGGAAGCGAAGACGCCTTACACGCCCGTGAGGTAGCGAGCTTGCGCCGCCGGCTGTCGAAGCGCTCGCGCCCATGATCACGACTCGTGCTTTTGGGTGTCCCTGCCTCACCGCCGCTGCTTCCGAGCACCGTCAGTCGCCGCCTAATGTCGAAGATGCTCTCTCGCCGACTTTGAGTTTCAATCATAGCTTCGTTCTGTACGATTTCCGACGAATATCGTCTGTTTTCCTGCGGTTCCCCGACAGCATGTGACACTAAGCATAGTGCTACTAGCGAGACCGCGACTTGAAATGTATGCCGCATTTCGGAACGCTGACGGACGGCCTGTGTACTGAGCAGGATAGATTGTTAAGGGATATCACAAGGACGAACTGGTTAACTTTTGAAACCAGCAGTACACATGGGGATTTGACAAGGTCCGCCAAAACTCAGGAGCTCATTGTCGAAGGCGAAATCCGCTAGGACGTTCGAGAAGCGCGGGACGATTTGAGGCTCGGAGGTACCGTCTGGGGAAGGTCACTCGACTGGATTCTCTCGCTGAAAAGAATCCTTCTCAAAAAGGCCGACCAGGTGGTAGTAGGCAGCTCAGCAAACACAGAAAATAGTGATGCTGTGGTGGTGATGACCGTCTCTGGTTTGGTGGTCACACTGATCAGTCAGTCGGTGGATCATCAATCAATGTGCAATTTCTCGAGTCTCGACTCGACACACTACTGATCGTCGTCGGTCAGTACAATTGATTGCTTTCATGCGGCTCGATACCAGCGCTCGCATTTCAATTTTATTAGGGTTTGCTTTAAGGTTTACCCTAAGCTGAAAGCACATGTGCGTTACAAGGTTTTGTAGTCAGACGCTGTCAGACCTACTTCATTACTACAGGTAGTTGTCTTTAGGTGAGCCAACAGCTACATTGTTCAGCCTTTTCAGCTGTTCACCACAACCTGGGTCTGGTAAAATGTATTTTGGCACGAAAAAACCTGGATATCCGAGCCGCATTTTTAGGGTGACATACGCGGCTCGCTCTCCGACGTGACATTCACCTTGACGTGGCAACATGGAATCCGACCGTCCATTTCATCCTTGCGGCTCGAGTGGACAAATTTCTCGCCTTGACAAATGTCCAAAGCTAGCCCTGCTGAGCTCCTTGCTTCCCTTCCCTCCTCTGCCATTCCATGTCGGTTCATCACGTTCCAAGTGTCGACCTGGACACCACTGTGGCGTATTCGCCCTACACCTTGAGTTGGCTTTTGTGCGCCCCAATGCCCCACTTTGAGTGAATCTGGTGACTGGAGGCCAGGAGAGTGTCAGGTGAACGTGCACAAATTCTGAGCCTCCAATGCACAAGGTGAGTATCGACAGGGCAAATTCATCATCACGAACTTCGCAGTTCCTTTCTCAGATGCAAATCCAAATCAAGCAGAAGCTCTTATCAAGTCGCCGTATCTGCTAGCCTTCGGCCGGTCGGTGCTGTCTTACAAGCTCGTGCCATCATTGTACTCAAAGCAACTACATCGCCCCTGCTGAAACCTGTTAGCACAACAATAGATCGAAGTTTTTCTCCCTAACTCAACAGGCTTCACAGCTCCGCACTCCGTACCAACTCTTCCTGCCACACCTCTGAGCTACACGCTGGTTTCGCACGCTTCTCCACATAGCTTTCACGGTACATCTTTCCATGGGTCACTCAAACCCCATGCAGCCATGCTAGGCACGCCGGGCCCCTCTCTTGTTACGCCTACGGCCTCCGCTTTTCCATGACAGAATCTTAATTGCTTCCAGAGCCAGGAACTACGTGTTGCGACAGCGGGAGACCATTATACACAGCAGACTAGCGCCCGAGCCAGGAACGACAGATTGGGGGGTTTTTTACTCAGCGGAAACCGTTGGAGCGACGAGGGTACCGAAAGCGACGATGAAGATGGTGGTGCAACTCAGAATAACTTTACTTTCGCTGCTCTTCGTAGTGTCGCTGTTGCCTCTGACCCTCGCAGTCGGGCCGCCAGCCTCACAAGCAGCTGCACGGGCAGCATCACGGGCAGCCGGACGCGCGAATCCGAAAGAAAGTTCGCGGGGAACGCCAAGGCCAGCCCCTCGGGCAGCACCACGCAGACCAGTAGTAGTACAAGCGGCCGCAGCCAGTAAATGTGACCTCAATCAAGGACGGTATGTTGCAATGAGAGCCTCCTTGAACTATTATACGATGCAGGATTCCGCCTTCATGTGGTTCTCAAGATGCAAAATCTGTTCTTTTAGGTCAAGCTTTGCACGCCTTTCGGGTTCACCTGTTGCAAGTAGGTGTTCGGTCTTACATGTAAGCCACCAACTTTTATTTCAACCTAGGTCTCTATTCCTCCCCCTGCGTGCCGTCCGTGTCGCTTTGCCACAGGTGGGTATACGACGCCAAGTACAAGCCAGCATACGGCCCCGTGAGCTGCAAAAACCTGCGATCGTACTTCAACTGCCTCGCGAACGGGCGAAAAGATCGCAGATACCTCAATTACGTGTGGCGAAGCCCTGGTTGTAACATCCAGAGGTAAGTCCCGGTTCGCGTATCGTGAACATATTATTTTCAGGGCAGTCTGTGCTCCTCGAGTTTGTTCCTGACTTGAAAAGGACTAACCACGCGCGCGTCACTTTTCTTCGCACAGGTTCAATGCGACGTCTTTCATGCACCGGTTTCGCAACAAGGTGTTTCTGGTTACCGGCGACTCCTTCGCGACGAACTTCGACGCCTCGTTCCGCTGCCTCATCGGCTCATACACCAAAACCAAGGTGCGTAAAAAGCACGGCGGTCGACGAACAAACTTCATTTAGGTGGCTCTGCGAGAGAAGCGTTTGTAGGAAGCCTAATAGGAGAAGAGCGGGGCGACAGGAAATTAGGTGCGAATTGTCAAAAACTAGCGGTGGATAGGCGACTCAAATTCTACCCGGTGATAGCTGGCGTTGGCGGCCGCTGTCTGGGCGCAGTACCCGGACGACAACAGGGAAACAGATCAGTAGGGGAGACGGCTCGAACGAGAGATCCGGCATTGGAGGAATGGCTTCACGAGAGCTGATATAGTTGCTCATTGAATAGACAGGCTTGGACTAATTGCCTCTGGGAGCCAAGGCTCTAGATGCCTAGGGTTTTCATGGTCGAAGCGCTTTAGAAACAGGCGAGGGTGTCGTAGGGTCCCCAAATAGCGGTATCTCGTGCGAACATCGTGTGAGGCGACCCAAGTCGCGAATCTCCTCGGTCTAAGTACCGAAAGCTTTGACGGTCCCCCCGTATTCTCCATTCTCCAGCACTTATGCCTGTCTCTAACTCGAGAGTTTGACTGAGGCTGCTTGTCTCCCGCTTCCTGGTCTTCTATCTTGAGCCTTCCTGGAAAAAGTTGCTCAACATCATTCGTTGCGGTGGCTTTCCGGGAAAATCAATCACCTTCAACCAGAAAAGGAGAATTCAGGGGAGACGTTTCATCCTTCTCCCCTCCTCTTCTTTTTATCTGCTCCTCTCTCCCCCTCCCTTGTTTCCCTTCTCAGTAAATGTATTACAAGATTGGAGTTTCCTAGGCTCCCCCCCCCCATTTCTCACACACACTCCCATGATCTTCCTTTTTGTGCCTGGTTTCGCTTTCGGCAGGATTTTACCAACAAGCAGTGGGGTAACACTGGAGTGAAGGCATCGGGTTACTTCGCAAAGGCTTTCAACTTCACTGTAGTTCGCGTGCCCTCGAACTTCCTCGTCGCGTCGCAACCAATCGTGAGGCTTTCCTGCCGCCCACTACAAAAACTCGACCCAATCAACACTACAATCATCTTCCAAAAAAAACGCTCCGTTGTAGGACGTTTTTATGGGCCATTGTGCATAATTTGAAGTTCTCTACAAATAACATGTAACGCAATCTCAATCATTCTTTTCCACATTCGTCTACCTGTATTGCAGGGCGAGGTATCGAGTGCAGGGGTGTGGCAAGTGGAATTAGACAAAGTGGACGACAACTGGGCCAAGCTCTTGCCCTTCACCCACTATGCGCTCTTCAGCTCCGGTCACTGGTTCAGCCAGGTGAGGCAAGGGAGGTACAAAGCGGTGGTGAGTGGTTCAAGCTGGTGAGTATCCGATCACTAGCACACAGGTTACTCCACACATACTCTCCTCCTTATGCTCTTCCATAAACACACCTCCCATCCACAGATAACACTTTGCATACCACAAGGAGAAACTCGCTATCTCTGAATAGACTGCAGCAATGGGAAGTAATTTTGCCACACGGACATGTAACCGTGCAAGAATTATCCATGTAACTCCACCCCCATCCCCATCCCCATCCCCACCCCCACTTCCTCTCAATCTCCATCCCCATCCCCATCTCCATATTCCCATCCCCCTCCCCATTCCCATCCCCATTTCCATCCCCCCAACATCCCCGTCCCCATCCCATGCAAGAGTTTTTGACGGGAATTCATCCCCATCTCCATATTCCCATCCCCCTCCCCATTCCCATCCCCATTTCCATCCCCCCAACATCCCCGTCCCCATCCCATGCGAGAGTTTTTGACGGGAATTCATCCCCATCCCCAACCCAACCCCCACCCTAACCCTCTCACCCCCATTCCCATCGCCCTCCCTCTACCAGGCGTCCGACAACCTCCGGAAATACCGCCGCGGAGGGCAGCCGATCAAGCCGCAATCCGCGCTGCTAACCATGCAAGAGTCGCTCGTTACACTCACGCGGTTCGTGAAGGCGTCTGGTTACCGCGGCACGCCGTTCTTCATCTCGTTCACGGCCTTCCACTACTACAACTCGTTTGACGCCAAGTCGCAGAGCTGCGTGGGGTTCACCGACCCCTTAAAGCCCAAGCAGCTGCAATACGCCGAAGCCGCGACCGATATCATCACGTCACGGAATGCACAGGTGGCGGTGAGTGAAGGGGGGGTGCAGGGGGCTATGCGGGTGAGAGGGAAGTTTCTCTTGGGGAAAGGCAAGGGAGGGGAGTTTGGATGCGATGCGAGAGGGGGCGAGGTTAAGCCCAAGCAGCTGCAATACGCCGAAGGGTTGAAGGGGGAGGGTTGTTGAAGGGTTGAGGGGGGAGGGTTGGGGGGGGGGGTTGGAGGAGCAGTGGGAGACAGACAGGAGCAGAAGGGATGACTGATGTGACCACCATGGTCAGAGGTGGTCAAGTTACTGAATGAACATGGCCCGAGCCCTCCACGCTCCACCAATCCTTGAAAAATCTGCAGGAAAATGTGTCTCGCTCTTCCTTACCTGCTCACTGCCTTCCCGAACCTACTGACCCTATCATATCCTCCCTCGTTCCCAAACCTATGCCGAACCTGTCCGCATAAAAATCGTGATAGTGGACTTGGCTCGATCCACCATCTCCCGGACCTACTTGCCAAACCTCCTGTCCTCTCTTTCCCGAACCTGTCCTCCGATGCGCAGATCCTACGAAAGGCACCGGAGTTTAAAATCGTGGACGTGGCTCGATCCACCCTCTCTCGCCCAGACTCACATCAACAGTTGGCAACAGGAACGGGCAACCCCGACTGCTCCCACTTCTGCGTCCCCGGGGTGCCAGATTCATGGGTGGACATCGTCAATTCGTATATGATCGGCACGATTTGATTATGAGAGACTTGGGAAGGATTGGTGTGAGGGGAGAAAATCCAGCAGATGGTAACAGGAACGGACTGCCCCAACTGCTCCCGCTTTTGTGTCCCCGAGGTGCCGGATTCATGGGTGGACATCGTCAATTCGTATATAATTGGGGCGATTCGATGAGTGATTTGATCAAGATTGGTGGCAGGGTGGGGGCTGGTTGAGCACCAGTGAGGGGGGACAGACCCTCCCAACACGTAGGGGGAATGGAAGAGAGGGGTTGGTGCTGTGGAGGTAGGGGTTGTTTTTTTTCTGAAAGGGGCTGTGCTGTGGAGAGAGAAGCTGCTTCTTTGAAGATAAGGTTGGTGCTGCGGAGAAGACAAGCCAGCCGTGGCCAAAGTATATGCATACATATGTGTGCGTGAACGGATATGGATGCAACCGGCATCCAGAATCTCATACGGCGACAAAAACGTCGTACGATACAGTAATCTATGTGCACGCTTCATGAGCTCAATACCGTAGGTTATTCTCTGGTTTGAATCCAAATCATGACCAGCTGGGACGGCGTATAGGATGTGTTTGTTCTCCTAATAAGATGTTGCATGCAAGATTTCATCAAGCACTTACACTACAAATGTTGTGTGCAGGCCTCTGGTTAGGTTTTGAGCTACTCTTTCACGTAAGGCCAACACCCCGCTTGCACTTTTTCTGAAAGGGTGCTCACAATAACTACTCTTTCTAGTAAGGGTGCAAACATAATATGGTTCTTCTACAAGTAGCTGAACATTCCGAAATGGTCGAGTTGATGGTGTTGTAGTGAGTTGCGTAGAGGAATTTACGCGTATGACTCAAGTCCGATACGGTACTTGAATTAGGCTTATCTGAACGAGGTAGCATTTTCCGCGAGAACTCTTACCATACTCAGTTAGATCAAACTCAATGTCATCAGTGTTACTACACCACATAACTCTGAAATATCAGTGTGGTACCGTATGGCCCCGGATAGAAGCGCAGGCCTATGTTAAGCGCATGCGCTTGTATCTGGAGCAATGCGCTTATGGCCGATCCTCAATTATAAGCGCACCCCTTTGGAATTCTTGACTTATTATAAGCGCACTCGTTTAGTTAAAAAAAAAAAAGAATTTCATTTTTTTTAACCTACCTAGCCTACATGTTCTAAACTTTCCATTAAGAATGACTATCACATACAAGGGTGGTCTCTGCTGTCCTGCACTACACCTTTCAACCTGCCTAGTCTACCCTACTGCCTTTTCTTCCTCCTCGTCCGACTCAGGCTCCGTGGAGTTGTTGCCCCAGAACCCATCTACCTGGATGTCGTCGTCCACCTCCACCTCATGGGACAACTGGCACCTTCGGTGCGCTAGCACCAGTTTGTCTTCGCTCCCATCAAGGGCGTTGCTGATGCCGCAAGTGAGGAAGGCTTTCTTGATGAGGTCGGCGGGCACCGCCTTCCAGGCCCGTGAAATCCACTTGAGCACCACCTCCGGAGGTGGTTTCTTGATGTTCCCTGCATCACACGGAGTGGGGCGGGGAAAACATGAGACAAGTAAACATGCATTCAAGCTCAAGATTTGCAGACGGGAGCACATGCCGTCACTCACCTGCCGGGGTCAGGATGTTCATGCCGTCCTCCTCAAACCAATTTTGGTACTGCTGACGAATGCTTGCTTTGAAGCTTTTGTTGATCGACACATCGAGGGGCTGCAGGTCTGCCGTGCAACCCGCCGGAATGATAGCAGGCACGATGTTGAGCGCCGCGAATCTCGCCTTGACTTCTGGTGTCAGGTGATCGCGATACGAGTCGAGCACCAGCATGGCGCTACGACTCTGCAGGCCGAATTTCGGCTTCAGGAACGGCACCACGCCCGTGTTGAGCCACTCGATGACGCCTGCGGCCTCCATCCACCCGTTGGCTTGGCAGCCGACCACAACATCTGCACGCAACGAAAAAGAACAGTTAACGACTCAGGTAGTAACGGGAATAAACACGGTGGACGATCACTTACCGTTCGGGAAGTCACCCTTGGGGAGTGTCTTGCGCTTGAAAAACACCCACGGCTTCAGCTTCTCGCCCGTCGCCGTGCACGCAAGCATGACGGTCACTCTCTCCTTCTGGTACCCACCGCTGCGAATGGGCACCGACCTCACGCCCGTCTGCTCCACGGTGGTCGTCGCCGGCATCTCTAACCACAGCGGTGTCTGGTCGGCGTTGATGATGTAGCGGTTGTCAATGTCGTATTCGTGACGGGCGTCACGTACGTACTGCCAAAAATCATTGCACTGCTCAGCCACGTCTGCAGAACAGGGAGAAAGGTACATACAGTAAACCAAATTAGTATGACGCATAGGAGACATGCGAAAAAAACTAAGCGCAATCGGGTACCCACCAAAATCAGCAGTAAACGACCCACTTACGCTCCTGTGTTTTCTGTGCCACCTTTGTTTTCATGCGCACGCTGAGGTTCCACCGCCTGCGGAACCGCTCCGTCCACCGCTGACTGGCTTTCCACTTGACGTCCGGGTATAGAACCTTCATCACTTCTTTGGACCACTCTTGCAGCCGGCCGACCGAAACCGCAACTCCGCGGCGTCGCCAGTCGAGGAGTTGCGCGTACACCTTTAACTCCATGGGGCGGTACCAAGACGACCTCCCGCGCCCGTGAAGTCGCATCCGTGCTCCGTGTGCAGCCTTGAGCGCATCCGCTTGGGCTTTCCATTCTGTCAGACATTTTCGGTGAATGCCTGACTCCCGCGCCACTTCGCTCACCGAAGCCGCAAGCTCGAGCCGCACGAGCCACCTCAACTTCTCCTGGGCGGTGTAGGACTGCCGCTTATGTTGATTCAGCTTGTGCCTGGGGGAGGGGGGGCGGGCATCTCGATTCTCGGTAGACGGGTGGGGGCGTTTTTTATTAAGGGGCGGATATGTCGGTACCGGCATCTTCGCGCGTGGTGCGTCGCGCCACCAGGACTCCACACCGTCCTCGTCCTCGTCACGGTCGGGGAACACGTCTTCCTCGTCGCCCGCTGCACCGTCGCCACCAGCTTCACCGTCGCCTCCAGCTTCGCCGGCGCCGCTGTCATGTTTATCGGTAGCCACATCATCGTCGGCGCCCACAGCCGACTCATCCCACGCGCAGGATTCTGGTTGTCCCCACCGTGGTGCAGTCGCTGGAGCTTGGATGCGTGCATCGCGGGCCTTCGGTGTGTCCGCTTCAGCCAACCATTCGTCGAACGTGGCTGGTAAATACAGTTGGAGCACGGGCCGTTGGTGAGCACCTGCCGTGGCAAAAGCAGGCGGATTCGGAGGAGCGGGAGGTGCGGGAGGAGCGGGTGGAGCAGGGGGTGCAGGGGGAGCAGGAGGAGCAGGGGGTGCAGGGGGATCCGGTGGCACTGGAGGCGCTGGTGGCTCACGGGTATACCACCCGTCTTCGGTAAGTCGCCATGTGCGGCGTGGCTTTTTCTTGAAGAGGATGCTCGTCCCACTAAATTCCGCCATGGCTTCGCCTGCCAGGCGGGGTTGACAAGGAACTGAATGAAAAAATCAGAGAAGAGGGTGAAGAAATGGGCAACGACGGTGACCCCTGCTGTGTGACGGCTCGGGTTCCTCGTCGATGACAGGCAGGAAACCCCCGCCCACTCCCGTAGAGGCGCCTGCGTGGCAGCATCTACGCTGCGCTGGCAGAGAATCTTGCCGAACCTTCGAGATGGTTCTGCCCGAATGCACATGCCTCGCAGCGCATGCGGCTCTGATTGGGCCGCACGACAACATCATCGTCACGGCTGTCACATTCTATGTTTCCAGACAACATTGTGCGGTGGTAAACCGAACCGCTGCGGTTTCTGCCTGAAAACCATGCACGATCCCACTTGGTGCATGGTCGGTTGAATTTGCCTTATTGAGAGCTTCACAATGGTGTGTTCAAAATTGATTTTCATTTTTCCCTTTATACAAGCGCATGCGCTTATAAATCTGACTCAATTATAAGCGCACCCCCCCAAAAAACAATGTTTTATTATAAGCGCAGGTGCGCTTCTATCCGGGGTATTACGGTATAACCAAACAATTTTTCTTGTAAGGGTTAAAATGTTGACCACTCTGATAAAAAAGGGTGCATCGTCGAACCCAGCCTTATAGTAAGGGTCATAAGGGTGAATCACCCTGTTAACCAGAGGCCTGGTTGTGTGCCTTCATATCAATGAAGTTGTTACGGGTGCAATGGATCGAAGTAGCGAGGATTGCACTAAGGTGTCAAACGAGTACAAAATGTGAGCGAAGGCATGAGCGAATATTTATACACGAAACATGCGAACGGTAACGCGGTGCGTGCGAGCTAGCTAGTGCTACGCTGGAGCGATGCTCGGGCTAGTCCCAAAGCGTAGGCCGATACGGCCAGGCAGGGCCCAAAATATCAAGGTAAAATACCATTTTTGCCCTTTCTGTAGGCCGCTTTTATTCAGTTACCCTGATCAAGGCAGGCTAACAGTACAGTTACCCTTTCTTCAAATTAGTGGTTTTTTTTTACCCTTTCAAAAACAGTGTAGTAGTTTCCTTTCCCTGACTAAGAAGTGTCACACAAAGGTTACAGTAGCAGCGATCCGAAGAAACCGAAGCCGATTGAAAGACATCCCGCACGCATCAACGTTCAAACCTGCAACCTTACCATTCGGAGACGTTCACTGAGGGAAATACTTACTAAGTCATTCACTGACGTAAGGATTTACAAATCCTTACTGAGGGACTCGTTAGCGAGGACATCCCGAGGGTCACGCGACGAACCTGTGTCACAGTATTATAGCTGATGCATGTTTGTAGGCTATATTGGGGTAGCACATATGGGGTACAGCTTTCTAGGGTTGTATTTGTACCCAACTCTGACTTAGTCATTTCATTCCTGTTCACTTGTTTCACATGGTATAGAGCGGGTCCTTCCTTAGGACCGATTTGTTTTAGGGCCCACCGAAGCGCGCCCCGAGGCGCGCCTTTTTTTTAGCGACCCCTCGGGTCGCCATTTCCCTCGCGGCCCCGCTGTCCCTCAGACGCGGCCCCGCCACCACTCCTGATCGCGGCCCCGCCGCCTGCTTGACGCGGCCCCGCCGCCTCCACTGACGCGGCCCCGCCGCCGGCTCTGACGCGGCCCTGCCGCCCGCTTCGTCGCGGCCCCGCCGCCTCCACTGACGCGGCCCCGCCGCCGGCTCTGACGCGGCCCTGCCGGCCCGCCGCTGCACCCTACGGCCCGCCGCCTCACCTGACGGCCCCGCCGCTGCACCTGCCGGCCCGCCGCTGCACCTGCCGGCCCGCCGCTGCACCCAGCGGCCCGCCGCTTCACCTGACGGCCCCGCCGCTGCACCTGCCGGCCCGCCGCTGCACCCTACGGCCCGCCGCTGCACCCTACGGCCCGCCGCCTCACCTGGTCGGCCCGCCGCTGCACCCTACGGCCCCGCCGCTGCACCTGCCGGCCCGCCGCTGCACCGGTCGACCCGCCGCTGCACCTGACGGCCCCGCCCCTGCATCTCCCGGCCGAGCCGCCCCAGCAGCAGAGCCGCCCCAGCAGCCGAACCGCCCGGGAGCCGAGCCGCCCAACGCCGAGCCGCCCGGGACCCGAGCCGCCCTGCCGCCGAGCCGCCCGGGAGCCGAGCCGCCCTGCACCCGAGCCGCCCTGCCGCCGAGCCGCCCGTGAGCCGAGCCGCCCTGCGCCCGAGCCGCCCAGCCGTCGAGCCGCCCGGGAGCCGAGCCGCTGTGCACCCGAGCCGCCCGGTCGCTGAGCCGCCTTTCTGCAGAGCTGCACGACCTGCCCTGCCTGGTGAGCACAGTCCCACTGACACTGCGAGCTCTTTCCCTACTGCTTGCACTGCGTCGCTGTCGTCGCCATGGCTACCCCTAGTGTCCTAGCTTTTGACGCTGAGGGTCGCGCCATTGATTTTGAGGTCTGGTTAGACGACCTGCAGCTGTTCTTACAGTGCGACAGGGCTGACGACCTTTCTCTCTTTGACCTCACCTCTGGCGCCTCTCCTGCTCCTGCTGCTGATGCTGATCCCACTGTCCGCTCTCAGTGGGCCACCCGCGATGCTGCTGCACGTCTTGCTGTGCGTCGCCACCTCCCTACCTCTGAGCGTGCGCACTTTAGTCAGTACAAGAGTGCTCAGACCTTGTACGACGCTGTAGTTGCGCGCTACTCCTCCCCTGCCACTGCTGCACTGAGCCGTCTCATGCTTCCCTACCTCTTTCCTGACCTCTCTGCCTTTCCCACTGTTGCTGACCTCATTACGCACCTCCGCACTAGTGACACTCGCTACCGCGCCGCCCTTCGTGCTGAGTTCTGCGCTAAGAACCCACCCCCCATGTACATCGCTCTCTACTACGTAGTCGCGCGCCTCCCTGACTCCCTTCGCGTCGTCAGGGACCACTTTCTCGCAGTCTGTCCCACCACCCTCACCGTTGACCTCCTCGAGAAGGCCCTCCTCGCAGCGGAGAAGAGCATAGTCGCTGTAGGTGCTTCTCGTGGTGACCCTCGCACCCCCATCTTTGAGGGGTGCTCTCCTTCCCCCTTGCTGCCCTCTGTTGCCTCTGCTGCTGCTGCCGACCTGCTTGGTCTTGAGTCGGTCGGCGCGGCGTCTACCCCTAGTGGGAGACGTCGCTCCAGCAAGGGCAAGGGCGCGGGTGGAGCTGGAGGGGGCGGTGGCGGTGGCGGCGGTGGCGGCGGAGGGAGTGGGGGTGGCGGCGGGACTAGTGGCGGGGGTGGTGGTGGTGGTGGCAGCAGCGGCGGAGACGGTGGTGGTGGTGCCAGCGGTGGTGGTGGAGGCAGCGGCGGAGGTGGAGGCGGCGGAGGTGGAGGCGGTGGAGGCGGCAGCGGAGGAGGCGGTGGTGGTGGAGGAGGTGGAGCTGGTCGGGGTGGTACCCAGCAGCGTAGCGGCGGTGGTGGTGGCCAGCGCTCGCAGCGGCAGCAGCAGCAGCGCTCGCGGGACATCCCTCCGCCTCAGCAGCTTCGTGAGTGGTACGCTGGGCGTCAGAGGGGTGGGGGTACTGGTCCCTGCACCTACGTTCTTCGTTCCGGCGACCGCGCGGGTGAGCAGTGTGGGGGTGCCCACGCCACCCAGCGCTGCTTTGGCTGCCTGACGGACGCTTGGCGTCAGCAGTTCCCTGGGGCTAGTGAGATCCCTCGCTGGGATGAGCTTCTAAGGGCTGGTGTAGCGATCTTTGATCTTGATTTTGATGCTATCCTTGCTGCTATGTATGCTGTGGATTATAGTGAGGAGAATGAGGGTTACCGGTGTTTCCAGCCCGACCCGGGCATTGGTACTGCTGCGCTAGGTGCTTGTGAGGCTGCTGCTCTAGGTGCCAGTGCGTCTGTGCTCTCAGGTACTGGTGAGACTGCGCTCTCAGGTACTGCGTCGTCCTCGTCCTCCCTCACTTTCACACTTGACTCCGGGGCTTCTCGCTCCTTCTTTCGAGACCGCACTACCCTTACGCCGCTCGGCCGGCCGGTTGCGGTCTCCCTTGCTGACCCCTCTGGGGGTCCTGTCCTGTCTCACTTCTCCACTGTCCTCCCGTGTCCGGCTGCCCCTTCGGGCACCCTGTCTGGTCTGTACCTTCCCTCGTTCTCTACGAACTTGGTGAGTGGAGCGGACCTGCAGGATGTGGGGGTTCACCAGTTTACTCCTGCGAGTCAGCGGGTGACCCACTGCACGGAGGCACGCACAGGCCGACACCTGGCGATGTTCTCGTGTCGGCCGGGGTCGAGTCTCTACACCCTGACCGTTGCGTCTCCTCCTGTCCCTGCGTCTGGTCAGGTGGCTGCGTCGGGTCAGGTGCTTGCTGCTGCGTCCCGGTCAGGTCCTGAGTCTGCCCCCTGTTCTTGTCGCCTCCTGTCTCACGAGACTCTCCTGTGGCACCACCGTCTTGGCCACCCCTCCTTGCCCCGTCTTCGGAGCATGGCTTCCCGTGTCCTTGTCTCTGGTCTTCCCCAGTCTCTCCCTCCTCTCCCCTCCGGGCCAGGACCTTCCTGTGTCCCCTGTGTCGAGGGTCGCCTCCGGGCTACTCCTCACTCCTCCCACTTCCCCCCGACAGAGGCTCCCCTGCAGACGCTTCACATGGATGTGTGGGGCCCAGCCCCCGTCCGTGGGCAGGGTCACGAGCGCTACTTCCTGTTGGTGGTTGACGACTACTCGCGTTACACCACAGTCCTCCCCTTGCGCAGCAAGGGTGCGGTCACTGAGGTGCTGATCGACTGGATCCGCGAGGCTCGTCTCCAGCTCAGGAAGAGCTTCGGCTCGGACTTTCCTGTTCTGCTTCTGCACTCGGACAGAGGCGGAGAGTTCTCTTCTCGCCTTCTGCGGGACTACTGTCGTGCACGAGGGATTCGCCAGACCTTCACGCTTCCAGACTCACCACAGCAAAATGGGATTGCTGAGCGCCGCATTGGCATGGTCATGGATGTCGCTCGTACGTCCATGATGCATGCGGCTGCCCCCCATTTTCTGTGGCCGTTTGCGGTGAGGTACGCGGCGCATCAGCTCAACCTTCACCCCCGGGTCTCTCGGCCTGCGATGTCCCCAGCCTTGCTGTGGACGGGGAAGGTTGGCGATGCGTCTGTCTTCCGTGCTGGGGATCTCGGGCGTTTGTCCGCGACTTGTCTGCGGACAAGCTGTCCCCTCGTGCTGCTCCCTGTGTCTTCCTTGGCTTCCCCTCTGACGCCCCAGGGTGGCAGTTTTACCACCCCTCCTCTCGTCGTGTTCTGTCCTCCCAGGACGTCACGTTCGACGAGTCAGTCCCCTTCTACCGTCTCTTCCCCTACCGCACTCCTTCCCTCCCCCCTCCCCCGGACTTCCTTGTGCCGGTTCCCCCCCCGGTAGACCCCCTCCCCCCTCAGGTTCCTGCCCCCTCAGGTGTGTCCCAGGTAGACGCCGTTGACCCGGTCGAGGTTACTGGTGACTCTGGTGCTGCTGCGGGTGTTGAGCCTGGGGGTGCTGACTCTGGGGGTGCTGTGCGCGGGGGTGCTGAGCCTGGGGGTGCTACTGCTGGGGGTGCTGGGCCTGAGGGTGCTACTGCGGAGGGTGCGGAGCCTGGGGGTGCTGAGCCGGGGGGTGCTGTGCCTGGAGGTGCTGGGTCTGGGGGTGCTGGGTCGGGAGCTGCTGAGCCTGGGGGTGCTGAGCTGGGAGCTGCTGAGCCTAGGGGTGCTGCGTCTGGAGCTGCTGAGCCTGGGGTTTCTCCTGCTGCTGCGTCTCGCCGGGAGCCCCTCTCTCCACAGGAGCTGCGCGAGTGGTTCGCTCGCCGCTGGAGGCGTGCTGCTGAGTCTTGAGGTGCTGCTGGAGCTGGAGCTGGAGCTTCTTCGACCGTCGAGGGTGCGGGTGCTGCCGGTCCCGGAGCTGCTGGACCTGCGGGTCCTCCTGGAGCTGGAGCTGCTGAGGGCGTTGGTGCTGAGCCTACTGCTGTTGGTCCTGCCGCTGGAGGTGTGGGTGGCGCTGGTGCTGTCGCTGAGGGTGCTGGTGCTGTCCCTGCTGAGTCTGGAGCTGCCGCGCGGCCTCGGTCGTACTTCGTTCCGCTCCTGCAGCAGGTTCTTGGTCTTTCTCCTCTAGTAGAGGGTCCACCGCCTGTCCAGTCGCAGTCCCTGCTGGAGCCTTCCTCTCCACTGCCTGCTCCCTCTCCTTACACTGGTCCTACTGGAGGTCTTGCCGAGCGTTGTGAGCCTGCGTCTCGTCCCGCGTCGCCTGTTCGTGCTGCTCGCGCTAGTGGTCGCAGTTCGCGTCAGCGTCCTCCTCCTATCCCTGGCACGCACCTGATGTCTTTGCGTCCGTCCACTGCTCCTCTGCGTGCCCCTTTGCCTTCTCCTCCTGAGTCCTCTCTTCCTGCGCTTGCCGACCCTGAGTCGGACTCTCTTCGTGCTGCCAGTCCTACTGTCACGCGTCTGCTTGCTACTGTCGTCACTGACCCCTCTTTTGAGTCCACTGCTGCGTCTGCTCTAGTCGCTGAGCTCGTCGACTTTGCTGCTCGCTGTCGTCTCGACTACGCTGCTAGTCTTGTTGCTGAGTCTGCGTCTGTCTGTCCTCCGTCCGTCGGGGGTGAGTGTGCTCTTGGCACGGACGTCCTAGAGGATAGGCAGGAGGAGTTACAGTGTCTAGCGGCTACTTCACCTCATCTCGCGTCTGTACTACTTGCCCCTGAGGGAGACCCGGATGCACTAGACATCCCGACTCCGCGTTCTTACGCGGAGGCCGTAGAGGGTCCCTACTCCTCTCAGTGGCAGGCAGCTATGGATGCAGAGATGGCTTCCTGGAAGTCCACAGGCACCTACGTTGACGCGGTTCCCCCTCCTGGGGCGAACATCGTCAGTGGCATGTGGATCTTCAGGGTGAAGCGGCCGCCGGGCTCTCCACCTGTCTTCAAGGCACGGTACGTTGCTCGTGGCTTCAGTCAGCGGCAGGGAGTTGACTACTTTCAGACCTTCTCTCCCACCCCGAAGATGACTACTCTTCGGGTGCTGCTGCACATAGCCGCTCAGCACGACTACGAGCTTCACTCTCTCGACTTCAGCACTGCGTTCTTGCAGGGTAGCCTGCACGAGGAGATCTGGCTTCGCCGTCCACCTGGCTTCACTGGGACTTTCCCTCCTGGCACCCAGTGGAGCCTCCGACGGCCAGTCTACGGTCTCCGCCAGGCACCGCGTGAGTGGCACGACACACTGAGGACTACGCTTGCGGCTCTTGGGTTTGCTCCTTCTACTGCTGACCCGTCGCTGTTTCTTCGCACCGACACTTCCCTGCCGCCGTTCTACATCCTCGTGTACGTCGACGACTTGGTCTTTGCCACAGCGGACACTACTGGACTCGCCTACGTGAAGTCCGGGCTGCTGAAGAGACACACGTGCACAGACCTGGGTGAACTGCGCAGCTACCTTGGCTTGCAGATCACTCGGGACAGAGCACGCCGCACCATTACCTTGACTCAGTCACACATGGTGCAGCAAGTCCTTCAGCGCTTCGGCTTCACGTACTCCTCGCCTCAGGCCACTCCTCTGCCTACTCGCCACTCACTCTCAGCTCTGCCTTCGGATGAGTCCGTAGAGTCGAGTGGTCCGTATGCAGAGCTTGTTGGCTGCCTCATGTACCTGATGACCTGCACACGACCTGACCTTGCATACCCTCTGAGCATTCTTGCACGCTATGTTGCTCCTGGGAGACACAGACCGGAGCACATTGCTGCAGCGAAGAGGGTATTGCGCTACCTGTGCAGTACGTCGGGCATGGGGCTAGTGCTTGGAGGGCGGAGTCTAGTGGTCCTTACCGGCCACGCGGACGCTTCTTGGGCTGACGACCAGGCTACGCAGCGCTCGTCACAGGGTTACACCTTCAGCCTTGGTTCCGGCTTTTTCTCGTGGCGGTCTACTCGCTCGTCTTTGGTTCTCGGCTCCAGTTGTGAGGCTGAGATCTACGCCGGGGCCATGGCTGCACAGGAGCTTCGCTGGCTCACCTACCTGCTGACTGACCTTGGAGAGCCGCCTCGTTCTCCTCCAGTGCTGTACGTAGACAACAAGGCCATGCTGGCCTTGTGTCGAGAGCAGCGCTTGGAGCACAGAACGAAGCACATTGCTCTCCGCTACTTCCTTGCTCGTGAGCTGCAGCAGCGTGGTCAGTTGCGACTTGCGTACGTGGCCTCTGAGGCCAACACTGCTGATGTGTTCACCAAGGCACTCGCGCCTTGTGACCATCAGCGCTTTTGCACCCAGCTGGGTCTTGTACCTGTCTTGCCTCACTTGCTCTCCTCTTGACTTCACTTGTACTGTGACATATATATATACCTGCTCTTGCTTGTCTAGTTTTATATATATGTCTGTACTCCTGCATGTGAACTGGCCTCTGGCCCTGCTCTTGTGCTCGGACTGTGTGGTGACTTTGTGATCCACCCTGAGCTTGCTTTGCTTTGCTTTGCTTGACTGGTATTGTGACCCCTTGTTCTCCCCCACTTAGCCTATGGGGGTGTGTCAGAGTATTATAGCTGATGCATGTTTGTAGGCTATAGTGGGGTAGGACATATGGGGTACAGCTTTCTAGGGTTGTATTTGTACCCAACTCTGGCTTAGTCATTTCATTCCTGTTCACTTGTTTCACAACCTGACCTTCCTATTTCGTCGCACTGAGCCACTCCCGAGTCGGCCTCCGCTCCAATCGCAACCATCACCGAGCCATCCCATCCCGAACCCCCCGCCTAGCTAGGTTTTCCCCTATTTAGGCCTCGCTACTTCATTGTTTCTAATTCAGTACTCAATCATTCTCGATATTCGATATTCTGCGCACTCTGCAAGTTGATTCATAACACCTGGTATCAGAGCTACTTTCCTAGCTCACCCCGCTTTTTAATACCCCTCGGGGGGGGGGGGGGGGGGGGGGGGGGGGACGAGGAAGGATGTCTTGGGGTCCAGGAGTTGCGTAGGCCGGCCAGGAGAACGAGTTAGTTGCTCCTCGCGGCCATAGTTTTACGGGTACTCCTTCGGCACCGCCAGATCCTTGCCTCGAACGGTCGCGATCGACCGTGGCCTCCCTCCCCCCGGGCTGCGGACAGCTGTAGCTGTCGCGACATTAAATGTGAGTTTCTATTCCGCAGCGGTTTTAACGACGATTTCGGAATTTTCTGAGGCAGCTGGCGTCAGCGGACCTGCGTCGGCACCTGCACGAAATTTTCGGAAGTCGTCACGATGAGTGGCAGTTGACGACGTTGGACCTGAGTCAACAGTTGCGCGACAACTTCGGAGTCGTCCCATGCGGCAAGTGACAACGGTGGCTCGTCGTCTTTTTGCGCGCGTGACTCACGGAGTGTGGCTCGGCAGCTGGCGACAAGGGACGTGCGTCACTGTGGCGATAATTTCGGAGCTACTGTGGAGAAAAAGTCGGCTGGGGAACTCGCCAGGCGCAAATGGAGTTTTGCGTCCGAAAATGTCGGTGGCGAGGAGAGACGACACTAGACTGCCCGACTTAGCGGGAGTCAACTGCCGTCCCGCCCGACCTGTTAAGTGCGGCGGCTTTTACTGCATTGGCGGGCGCGTCATCAGCAATTTTCGGCAGGAGTGCTCGTGGACAGACGGGACTTCATACCTGCTGACACTTACGGGCTGCAACGGAAAACGCGGTGGCTAAATCGCACTTACGAAGAAGTGGGACGCAGGCGACGAGGGAAATCGGGGCAGGTACACCTCGAATCAACTCGGCGACACTGTGTGTGAAGAAATGAAAACAGGAATGAATGACTATGAAATGAAATCAGTACAAGTATCAAACCCTAACTGGTTGTACCCCCTACAGGATACCCCACTACAGCCTACACAACAGTATAAGCTGTATATATGTTCTGACACACCCCCATAGGCAAAGTGGGGGAGAACAAGGGGTCACAAGACCAGTCAAGCAAAACAAACAAAGCTCAGGGTGGATCACAAAGTCACCACACAGTCCGAGCACAAGAGCAAGGCCAAAGGCCAGTTCACATGCAAGAGTACAGACATATATATATAGCAAGACAAGCAAGAGCAGGTATATATATGTCACAGTACAAGTAAAGTCAAGAAGAGAGCAAGTGAGGCAAGACAGGCACAAGACCCAGCTGGGTACAAAAGCGCTGATGGTCACAAGGCGCAAGTGCCTTGGTGAACACATCAGCAGTGTTGGCCTCAGAGGCCACGTACGCAAGTCGCAACTGACCACGCTGCTGCAGCTCACGAGCAAGGAAGTAGCGGAGAGCAATGTGCTTCGTTCTGTGCTCCAAGCGCTGCTCTCGACACAAGGCCAGCATGGCCTTGTTGTCTACGTACAGCACTGGAGGAGAACGAGGCGGCTCTCCAAGGTCAGTCAGCAGGTAGGTGAGCCAGCGAAGCTCCTGAGCAGCCATGGCCCCGGCGTAGATCTCAGCCTCACAACTGGAGCCGAGAACCGAAGACGAGCGAGTAGACCGCCACGAGACAGAGCCGGAACCAAGGCTGAAGGTGTAACCCTGTGACGACCGCTGTGTAGCCTGGTCGTCTGCCCAAGAAGCGTCCGCGTGGCCGGTAAGGACCACTGGACTCCGCCCTCCAAGCACTAGCCCCATGCCCGACGTACTGCACAGGTAGCGCAATACCCTCTTCGCTGCAGCCATGTGCTCCGGTCTGTGTCTCCCAGGAGCAACATAGCGTGCAAGAATGCTCAGAGGGTATGCAAGGTCAGGTCGTGTGCAGGTCATCAGGTACATGAGGCAGCCAACAAGCTCTGCATACGGACCACTCGACTCTACGGACTCATCCGAAGGCAGAGCTGAGAGTGAGTGGCGAGTAGGCAGAGGAGTGGCCTGAGGCGAGGAGTACGTGAAGCCGAAGCGCTGAAGGACCTGCTGCACCATGTGTGACTGAGTCAAGGTAATGGTGCGGCGTGCTCTGTCCCGAGTGATCTGCAAGCCAAGGTAGCTGCGCAGTTCACCCAGGTCTGTGCACGTGTGTCTCTTCAGCAGCTCGGACTTCACGTAGGCGAGTCCAGCAGTGTCCGCTGTGGCAAAGACCAAGTCGTCGACGTACACGAGGATGTAGAACGGCGGCAGGGAAGTGTCGGTGCGAAGAAACAGCGACGGGTCAGCAGTAGAAGGAGCAAACCCAAGAGCCGCAAGCGTAGTCCTCAGTGTGTCGTGCCACTCACGCGGTGCCTGGCGAAGACCGTAGACTGGCCGTCGGAGGCTCCACTGGGTGCCAGGAGGGAAAGTCCCAGTGAAGCCAGGTGGACGGCGAAGCCAGATCTCCTCGTGCAGGCTACCCTGCAAGAACGCAGTGCTGAAGTCGAGAGAGTGAAGCTCGTAGTCGCGCTGAGCGGCTATGTGCAGCAGCACCCGAAGAGTAGTCATCTTCGGGGTGGGAGAGAAGGTCTGAAAGTAGTCAACTCCCTGCCGCTGACTGAAGCCACGAGCAACGTACCGTGCCTTGAAGACAGGTGGAGAGCCCGGCGGCCGCTTCACCCTGAAGATCCACATGCCACTGACGATGTTCGCCCCAAGAGGGGGAACCGCGTCAACGTAGGTGCCTGTGGACTTCCAGGAAGCCATCTCTGCATCCATAGCTGCCTGCCACTGAGAGGAGTAGGGACCCTCTACGGCCTCCGCGTAAGAACGCGGAGTCGGGATGTCTAGTGCATCCGGGTCTCCCTCAGGGGCAAGCAGTACAGACGCGAGATGAGGTGAAGCAGCCGCTAGACACTGTAACTCCTCCTGCCTGTCCTCTAGGACGTCCGTGCCAAGAGCACACGCACCCCCGACGGACGGAGGACAGACAGACGCAGACGCAGCAACAAGACTAGCAGCGTAGTCGAGACGACAGCGAGCAGCAAAGTCGACGAGCTCAGCGACTAGAGCAGACGCAGCAGTGGACTCAAAAGAGGGGTCAGTGACGACAGTAGCAAGCAGACGCGTGACAGTAGGACTGGCAGCACGAAGAGAGTCCGACTCCGGGTCGGCAAGCGCAGGAAGAGAGGACTCAGGAGGAGAAGGCAAAGGGGCACGCAGAGGAGCAGTGGACGGACGTAAAGACATCTGGTGCGTGCCAGGGACAGGAGGAGGACGCTGACGCGAACTGCGACCACTAGCGCGAGCAGCACGAACAGGTGACGCGGGACGAGACGCAGGCTCACGACGCTCAGCAAGACCTCCAGTAGGACCAGTGTAAGGAGAGGGAGCAGGCAGTGGAGAGGAAGGCTCCAGCAGGGACTGCGACTGGACAGGCGGTGGACCCTCTACTAGAGGAGAAAGACCAAGAACCTGCTGCAGGAGCGGAACGAAGTACGGCCGAGGCCGCGCGGCAGCTCCAGACTCAGCAGGGACAGCACCAGCACCCTCAGCGACAGCACTAGTGCCACCCACACCTCCAGCGGCAGGACCAACAGCAGTAGGCTCAGCACCAACGCCCTCAGCAGCCCCAGCTCCAGGAGGACCCGCAGGTCCAGCAGCTCCGGGGCCGGCAGCACCCGCACCCTCGACGGTCGAAGAAGCTCCAGCTCCAGCTCCAGTAGCACCTCCGGACGCAGCAGCACGTCTCCAGCAGCGAGCGAACCACTCGCGCAGCTCCTGTGGAGAGAGGGGCTCCCGGCGAGACGCAGCAGCAGGAGAAACTCCAGGCCCAGCAGCTCCAGACGCAGTACCCCCAGGCTCAGCAACTCCTAGCACAGCACCCCCAGGCTCAGCAGCTCCCGACCCAGCACCTCCAGGCACAGCACCCCCCGGCTCAGCACCCTCCGCAATAGCACCCTCAGGCCCAGCACCCCCAGCAGGAGCACCCCCAGACTCAGCACCCCCGCGCACAGCACCCCCAGAGTCAGCACCCCCACGCTCAGCACCCGCAGCAGCACCAGAGTCACCAGTAACCTCGACCGGGTCAACGGCGTCTACCTGGGACACACCTGAGGGGGCAGGAACCTGAGGGGGGAGGGGGTCTACCGGGGGGGGAACCGGCACAAGGAAGTCCGGGGGAGGGGGGAGGGAAGGAGTGCGGTAGGGGAAGAGACGGTAGAAGGGGACTGACTCGTCGAACGTGACGTCCTGGGAGGACAGAACACGACGAGAGGAGGGGTGGTAAAACTGCCACCCTGGGGCGTCAGAGGGGAAGCCAAGGAAGACACAGGGAGCAGCACGAGGGGACAGCTTGTCCGCAGACAAGTCGCGGACAAACGCCCGAGATCCCCAGCACGGAAGACAGACGCATCGCCAACCTTCCCCGTCCACAGCAAGGCTGGGGACATCGCAGGCCGAGAGACCCGGGGGTGAAGGTTGAGCTGATGCGCCGCGTACCTCACCGCAAACGGCCACAGAAAATGGGGGGCAGCCGCATGCATCATGGACGTACGAGCGACATCCATGACCATGCCAATGCGGCGCTCAGCAATCCCATTTTGCTGTGGTGAGTCCGGAAGCGTGAAGGTCTGGCGGATCCCCCGCGCACGACAGTAGTCCCGCAGGAGGCGAGAAGAGAACTCTCCGCCTCTGTCCGAGTGCAGACGCAGAACAGGAAAGTCCGAGCCGAAGCTCTTCCTGAGCTGGAGACGAGCCTCGCGGATCCAGTCGATCAGCACCTCAGTGACCGCACCCTTGCTGCGCAAGGGGAGGACTGTGGTGTAACGCGAGTAGTCGTCAACCACCAACAGGAAGTAGCGCTCGTATCCCTGCCCACGGACGGGGGCTGGGCCCCACACATCCATGTGAAGCGTCTGCAGGGGAGCCTCTGTCGGGGGGAAGTGGGAGGAGTGAGGAGTAGCCCGGAGGCGACCCTCGACACAGGGGACACAGGAAGGTCCTGGCCCGGAGGGGAGAGGAGGGAGAGACTGGGGAAGACCAGAGACAAGGACACGGGAAGCCATGCTCCGAAGACGGGGCAAGGAGGGGTGGCCAAGACGGTGGTGCCACAGGAGAGTCTCGTGAGACAGGAGGCGACAAGAACAGGGGGCAGACTCAGGACCTGACCGGGACGCAGCAGCAAGCACCTGACCCGACGCAGCTACCTGACCGGACGCAGGGACAGGAGGAGACGAAGTGGTCAGGGTGTAGAGACTCGACCCCGGCCGACGTGAGAAGGTGGCTAGGTGTCGGCCTGTGCGTGCGTCCGTGCAGTGGGTCTCCCGCTGACTCGCAGGAGTGAACTGGTGGACCCCCGCATCCTGGAGGGCTGCACCACTCACCAAGTTCGTAGAGAACGAGGGAAGGTACAGACCAGACAGGGTGCCCGAAGGGGCAGCCGGACACGGGAGGACAGTGGAGAAGTGAGACAGGACAGGACCCCCAGAGGGGTCAGCAAGGGAGACCGCAACCGGCCGGCCGAGCGGCGTAAGGGTAGTGCGGTCTCGAAAGAAGGAGCGAGAAGCGCCGGAGTCAAGTGTGAAAGTGAGGGAGGACGAGGACGACGCAGTACCTGAGAGCGCAGTCTCACCAGTACCTGAGAGCACAGACGCACTGGCACCTAGAGCAGCAGCCTCACAAGCACCTAGTGCAGCAGCACCAATGCCCGGGTCGGGCTGGAAACAACGGTAACCCTCATTCTCCTCACTATAATCCACAACATACATAGCAGCAAGGATAGCATCAAAATCAAGATCAAAGATCGCTACACCAGCCCTGAGAAGCTCATCCCAGCGAGGGATCTCACTAGCCCCAGGGAACTGCTGACGCCAAGCGTCCGTCAGGCGGCCAAAGCAGCGCTGGGTGGCGTGGGCACCCCCACACTGCTCACCCGCGCGGTCGCCGGAACGAAGAACGTAGGTGCAGGGACCAGTACCCCCACCCCTCTGACGCCCAGCGTACCACTCACGAAGCTGCTGAGGCGGAGGGATGTCCCGCGAGCGCTGCTGCTGCTGCCGCTGCGAGCGCTGGCCACCACCACCGCCGCTACGCTGCTGGGTACCACCTCGACCAGCTCCACCTCCTCCACCACCACCGCCTCCTCCGCTGCCGCCTCCGCCGCCTCCACCTCCGCCGCCTCCACCACCGCCGCTGCCTCCACCACCACCGCCGGCACCACCACCACCGTCTCCGCCACTGCTGCCACCACCACCACCACTCCCGCCACTAGTCCCGCCGCCACCCCCACTCCCTCCGCTGCCACCGCCGCCACCGCCACCGCTCCCTCCAGCTCCACCCGCGCCCTTGCCCCCCTTGCCCTTGCTGGAGCGACGTCTCCCACTAGGGGCAGACGCCGCGCCGACCGACTCAAGACCAAGCAGGTCGGCAGCAGCAGCAGAGGCAACAGAGGGCAGCAAGGGGGAAGGAGAGCACCCCTCAAAGATGGGGGTGCGAGGGTCACCACGAGAAGCACCTACAGCGACTATGCTCTTCTCCGCTGCGAGGAGGGCCTTCTCGAGGAGGTCGACGGTGAGGGTGGTGGGACAGACTGCGAGAAAGTGGTCCCTGACGACGCGAAGGGAGTCAGGGAGGCGCGCGACTACGTAGTAGAGAGCGATGTACATGGGGGGGGGGTTCTTAGCGCAGAACTCAGCAGGAAGGGCGGCGCGGTAGCGAGTGTCACTAGTGCGGAGGTGCGTAATGAGGTCAGCGACAGTGGGAAAGGCAGAGAGGTCAGGAAAGAGGTAGGGAAGCATGAGACGGCTCAGTGCAGCAGTGGCAGGGGAGGAGTAGCGCGCAACTACAGCGTCGTACAAGGTGTGAGCACTCTTGTACTGACTAAAGTGCGCACGCTCAGAGGTAGGGAGGTGGCGACGCACAGCAAGACGTGCAGCAGCATCGCGGGTGGCCCACTTAGAGCGGACAGTGGGATCAGCATCAGCAGCAGGAGCAGGAGAGGCGCCAGAGGTGAGGTCAAAGAGAGAAAGGTCGTCAGCCCTGTCGCACTGTAAGAACAGCTGCAGGTCGTCTAACCAGACCTCAAAATCAATGGCGCGACCCTCAGCGTCAAAAGCTAGGACACTAGGGGTAGCCATAGCGACGACAGCGACGCAGTGCAAGCAGTAGGGAAAGAGCTCGCAGTGTCAGTAGGACTGTGCTCACCAGGCAGGGCAGGTCGTGCAGCTATGCAGAAAGGCGGCTCAGCGACCGGGCGGCTCGGGTGCACAGCGGCTCGGCTGCTGGGCGGCTCGGGCGCAGGGCGGCTCGGCTCCCGGGCGGCTCGGCGGTAGGGCGGCTCGGGCGCAGGGCGGCTCGGCTCCCGGGCGGCTCGGCAGCAGGGCGGCTCGGGTCCCGGGCGGCTCGGCGTTGGGCGACTCGGCTCCCGGGCGGTTCGGCTGCTGGGGCGGCTCGGCCGGGAGATGCAGGGGCGGGGCCGTCAGGTGCAGCGGCAGGTCGACCGGTGCAGTGGCGGGCCGGCAGGTGCAGCGGCGGGCCGGCAGGTGTAGCGGCGGACCGGCAGGTGCAGGCGGCGGGCCGTAGGGTGCAGCGGCGGGCCGTAGGGTGCAGCGGCGGGCCGTAGGGTGCAGCGGCGGGCCGGCAGGTGCAGCGGCGGGGCAGTCAGGTGAGGCGGCGGGCCGCTGGGTGCAGCGGCGGGCCGGCAGGTGCAGCGGCGGGGCCGTCAGAGGCGGCGGGCCGCTGGGTGCAGCGGCGAGCCGGCAGGTGCAGCGGCGGGCCGGCAGGAGCAGCGGCGGGCCGGTAGGTGCAGCGGCGGGCTGTAGGGTGCAGCGGCGGGGCCGTCAGAGGCGGCGGGCCGCTGGGTGCAGCCGCGGGGCCGTCAGGTGCAGCGGCGGGCCGGCAGGAGCAGCGGCGGGCCGGCAGGAGCAGCGGCGGGGCCGTCAGGTGAGGCGGCGGGCCGGCAGGAGCAGCGGCGGGGCCGTCAGAGGCGGCGGCGGGGCCGCTGCAGTAGAGGCGGGGCCGCGTCAGGGGAGGCGGCGGGGCCGCGTCAGGGGAGGCGGCGGGGCCGCGTCAAGTGAGGCGGCGGGGCCGCGTCAGGGGAGGCGGCGGGGCCGCGTCAAGCAGGCGGCGGGGCCGCGAGGGAAAAGGCGACCCGAAGGGTCGCTAAAAAAAAAAGGCGCGCCTCGGGGCGCGCTTCGGTGGGCCCTAAAAAAAAACGGTCCTAAGGCAGGACCCGCTCTATACCATGTGAAGAAATGAAAACAAGAATGAATGACTATGAAATGAAATCAGTACAAGTATCAAACCCTAACTGGTTGTACCCCCTACAGGATACCCCACTACAGCCTACACAACAGTATAAGCAGTATATATGTTCTGACACTGTGTACCTGGTGTTGTTGCAAGCTGGCCGGCAGTATCGAGAACAGTTTCTCCTGACCAGGGACGTTGTTTTCGGGGACAGCTGCTGACATCCCACGATTAAACGGTGTCCAAGGTACCGCCCGACAATTTCGGAGGGGTCGGTACAGGCTGCCGGGACACTCGGGAAGAAACGGCCCAACGGCTAAGCGGGGGTTGAAGAACGTCGTGGGAGCAGATTAAAAGCCGGAGGAATCGATCTGCGGCCCTACTTCGCCCGAACCTCACCATCCCCACCAAGTCCTGGTTCTGACTCATGCAGTCAACCTACTTGGTCGAATAACGGGGGTGAACACATGCCTACCCTGTGCTGGTTAAAGGCACCTGGATTGGTGCTCGTTCGACAGCTGTACAGAAAATACAAAAAAAAAAAGTGGAGTTCGCGGCACTGTTCTACTCCGACAAAAGCGGGCTGGGTGAACGGCACGCGAAAAAGTCGGGGAGCTGCGAGGATAACATCGTTGCAGTTTACAGGTTTCTCCTGACCCGGGCGTCTACACACGAGGTGACGGCGCAGCGGCGAAGCTGAGACCGGGAAGCTGTGAAAATTTAGTGGCGTGATAGGCACGGCGGGCTGCAAAACGGTTGGGCGACAGTTTCCTTTTAACTAAGGCTGCCCCGACTCCGATAGTTTTTGCCTCTCCAACGTGGCCGAGCTCGCGCGGGCAACAGCGACGATACCTCATCCGACAAAAGCGGACGCTGGGTGAACGGCGGGAAGCGGAATTGTCGGGGGGTGAATACGAAAAAAATGACGACGGAGGGAAAGTTGTGGGTGATCCAGCAGATCACTTAAGTGAGAGGTTGAGCCCGTGCACCAATCCACCGCGAATTTCGGAGTCTATTCGGTAGACCCCCGAAAGGGTTTGATATTGTTACATGGAGGCGCGGCGAGCGGTACATTGCCAATGATACATGGGATTCGCTAAGTGGTTTCGACGGGTATGAAGATGGGTGAACATCGGAGTACCAGGGTTAACGGCGGAAACGTCGGGGCCACACGGCGGAGAATAACTTCGGGACTGCTGCCTCAACCATGATTTTCGGGTGACTTTTCCTACAAAAAAAAGAGTTGAAGCTGAGGGTGTTTCTTCGCTTCTTGGAGTGCGGTTGAGCCGTTGGGGGACTTCGCCTGAAGGGTCACTTTTAAGTCGCCTGGCAAGAAACACAGGGGCGGGGATACCTAGAACCCACTGGTGTTTAAACGTACACCGCGGGAAATTCTTCAGTTAAAGGGAGCGTGGGAGCAGCCGAAGTTTTCGGATTTACCTACCGGCGACAAGCGATGGGTGAAACATCTGCAAAGCGCCAGTGGGAGTTTTGCGTGGTTTTCAGTTAAACTTCATCGGCGGGAGCAGTTTCGACGACGGGGTTAACGGCGTTGATGCCACTAGGTTCCGTGAAATTCGGTCTCGGAAGACCCAGGGCAGTCCCCGGTTCTCGATTGAACCCACACGCTGGGGTCGTGTAACCGAAGGAAACTGATGGTGACCGGGTGGGCGGCTATAGAACGACCGAGATTTTCGGAGGAGAACTGCACCTGCATCTGCGGATTTTCGGGGCTGTGTTAAAACGACATTTTCAAAGTTTACGCGGGACTTTACAGGTTTTACGGCGAGAAGCGGCGACAATTTCGGAGGAGAATTCGGCGTTTGGTTAAACGCGTGCGACATTTACGCAGGGCAACACCGCGGGAACTACACGGAGTTTTCAAGGGGTACGAACGACTTACGACGAACTGAAGAAGGCGGCAACAACAGTGACGGGAGGGGGGGAGCGACAGCTGTAAAATTTCATCCCTGCCCTTTAACTCTCGGCGCATAACGACAAAGTTCTCGGAGAAACCATTCCAACTCTGCTACCGACAACTCGCCTTCGACCCGCCCAAAACAACTGCATTAATTCTCAACCATGTCAGGTGCTGCCAGCTGCAGCTGCGGAAAGTACCACCGAAGTTCTCGGTGGAATCACTGTGAAAGTTAAGAGGAAAGAAGAGGGTTGAACTAGCAAGAATGGGGATACAAATAGCAAACCCTAGAAGGGTTGTACTCGCTATAGAGCACCCCACTACAGGCTAGAGCATAACATTCTGACACACCCCCATAGCCAAAGTGGGGTGTAATCAGCAGAGCAAGCAAAGCAGAACAAGCTCAGGGTGGATCACAATGTCACCACACATTCTGAGCACAAGTTCAAGAAGCAACAGTTTAAAGTTCACAAGTGTAAGCAAAGCTAGAGGCTATAGCAGAGGGCAAGTGAGGAGGAGGAGGCGAGACTGTAAGAGGAGAGGAGATAGGAGGCGACGACTGAAGCTGCAGACACACGGGCAACAGGAGGCACACTGGCACAGCGGCTACCGGAACAACGCTCCGGACTACTGGAGTAACTGGCCCCGCGGCTAAAAGTAGCGGCAGACGAGCAACGGACCCACGGGCGGCTGGCACAGCTGGCTACGACTGGGCTACCGGACGAAGTCCCCGGAATACAGGTGCTGCTGGCGACACGACGGCAACCTCCATTCAGCTTCCCCAAACTATCCCACCCCCCCCTGACACACACCCCCAACTGCACCCCTAGGGTCACTCACACCCCACCCCCTAGCACGACTCCGTCGACTCCCACACACCCACCCCCCTCAGCGGCAGCTGTAGCAGTGGGAGACAGAGGAGGAGGAGGAGCAGGGGAGACCACACACCCGCCACCCCCCACTCTCCACCCCAAACCCGAACACAGGGCAGGGCGGGATGGCGGGTAGGGAGGTTACGGGGGGAGGGGGGGGGCGGGCCGACGCGCGGCCTCCCTGGGCGCCAAAGTAGGCGGCAGAAGGGGCGACGCTCGCCCCCACCCCCACGTCGCCCCTCCCGTCGCGGCCCCCGAAGGAGCCACGACGGGCGACGGGAAAAGAGGGGGGGGGAGGGGGGGGGCGGTGCACGTGCCGGCGACGGGTCGGGGCAGCTGCGCGGGGCCGGGACGAGCGGCGCACGGGCGGCGACGGGCCGGGACAGCTGCGTGGAGCCGGGACGGGCGGCGCACGGGCGGCGTGGGGCCAGGACGGGCGGCGCACGGGCGTCGCCGGGCCGGGGCAGCGGCGCGGGGCCGGGACGAGCGGCGCACGGGCGGCGACGGGCCGGGACAGCGGCGTGGGGCCGGGACGGGCGGCGCACAAGCGGCGTGGGGCCGGGAGGGGCGGCGCACGGGCGTCGACGGGCCGGGGCAGCGGCGCGGGGCCGGGACGAGCGGCGCACGGGCGGCGTGGGGCCGGGACGGGCGGCGCGCGGGCGTCGACTGGCCGGGGCAGCGGCGCAGGGCCGGGACGGGCGGCGCACGGGCGGCGTGTACGTGCCCTCGGTGCGCCGCGACGGGCCCCCCCCCCCGTCGCCCGTCGCGGCGCCTCCACAGGGCGACGCGGCGAACGACGGGGCAGAAGCCCGCCGCGCGCCTCGGGGCGCACAGCGGGCAGAGAACCGCCGCGCGCCTCGGGGCGCACGGCGGGCAGAAAACCGCCGCGCGCCTCGGGGCGCACGGCGGGAAGAAAAAACTGCCGCACGCCACGGGGCGTGCGGCACAGAGAGTGGCAGTAGTAGTTGCAGCGGAAGCAACGAGGTGGTGAGCCCACCCACAGGATCGATCCAAGAGGATCGACCTGCTTTGATAGCATGTGAAAGTTAAGAGGAAAGAAGAGGGTTGAACTAGCAAGAATGGGGATACAAATAGCAAA